TACCTGCACAGTGACGGGGTCTGGCCCTGTTCCTGGGAGTGAGCTGCACCTATGTGGCTTTAAAACACACACCGACGCCTAGTTCCATGCGTGGCTGAGAAGTATCACAAAGTCCTGACGTGAAATTTATTCTGATGGGAATTTCACAACAGGAAAATTTTTAAGTGCAAGATGCTTGGAATGAAACATCCTAGGTTAGTAGGGGTCTTAGGTGACACTGAAATGAATTTTTAGTATCTTTTACTTTGTTAACACTAATTCATGCTTCTGGTAGAAAATGTGGAAAATATTTAAAAGAAAACAAAATTTAGCTACAAGTCCACCACCCAGAGATATCAACTACTAAAATTCTGGCTCCTTCCTGTGGCAGTTCTCTCCTGCTGCATGTGATCGTCCAAAGGCATTGATTTGCAGGGATGTGGCACCAAGGTGTTCGGTCCACTCCCATCGACCTGTCAGTGCTGCTGTGAAGGTGTCTCACCAGCCACACAGTAGAGCAGAAGGCTGCACAGTGAGAGTGCAGGCCTCCTCTAATCTGCTAATGCCTGTAAGAGGCAATAGGGACCAGGGAAGGGGACACTTCAGACACAGACCATGGCACCAGCTCTCCCCTGGGACTTTAGCCAGCTGTCCCATCTGAATATTCAAGACTAACAGGCTCCTCAAGCATGGGGGTTAGGTCCTTAAAAATCCATACATATATGCATGCACAGCCATGGTGATGTGCACACACACACACCAACGCTCCGTCTCTCTGGAGGCCCCTGGCTAACGTAGGGGTGATGTCTATAAGTTGGCCCACATCACACACTGGCTGCAGCGTTGGGCACCTGGAAAGACTCTGTCATCTTGCAGGCTGGCGGAAGGTGCTATTCTGGTGAGCTTGTGCCTGGATGCAGGGATTCCAACTTCGGGCTGTGCTGGTGTCCTGGGCTGCTCTTCACCCAGGGCATCTGATACTGTCTACCTCAAGGCCAGCATGCTGTACATGTTGCATCCTTCTGTGCCGGGCCCTGTCCCTCTGCTCATGCTGGGCTCTGCACCATGCCAGTGGGTAGGGGCGATGTACATACTCCATGGAGGGTGGCATAAAGGGCCCAGGACAGGGCCCTGGGGTCACCTAGGCATCCTGCCGCATGCCTCTGCTTCACCTGAGCATTCTGTGGTGGTGAGGGCTCCTGTGCACTGAGATTATACTCAAACCCCACTCACTTAACCATCATCTATGCTGGGAAAAGTCATAAGCTTTCAAACCTGGGAGAAAGTTGACTGAAGATATAATTTATTATGCTAATGAGCATTTGGTGTTTTTTTTCTTTATGTAACAGAAAGGTGGAAATTCTGCCTGATGCCCTATTTTACTGAAATGTTTCACTGAACCCCACTGTCTCCTGGGCTCTCACAAGTGGCAGGAACATGTGTTTTTAGCATATGCTGCCAAATTATTCAATGAAAGATTCAGAAAGCAATTTCATCTTTAAAACCTGTCTTTGAAAAACCCTGAAATAATGTTTATAATTTTAAATTAACTCTACTTAGGTTGAGGTGCCTGGTTATTAACTTATTTACTTGATAACATTGTTACCATTCAGCTGTAATGCAGTCATTTGCTTGATGTATTCCACCCTTCACATTTTACCTAGTAGAAGAAACAACTGTGCTCAGATAGCTGGGTCTCAGGTGCTGGAGCTGAATTAGCCTGACCTGTTGTCTTCACCAGGCGGGAGGACCACACACCACACAGCCTATTCAGCGCACACTGCTGTTTGCAGTTTAGGTTTTGTTTTGCAGAACTGAGCCCCGAGTCTTACAGATTTGGCTTCTTTGGCTCCCTTCTCTGTATTCAGTGCATTCACTGGAACCTTGGAGGTCATTCGTTCAAAGGTGCTGGGTGATCATTTGGTAGCAGAATTCCTGTGTGACTTTCAGAGACACATTGAGCTGAGGAACCTATGCGGTGCCACCAAGTGTGCTGCCAGCTCTGTGGGCATAGTACAGTCCTGGCCCGAGGCTGAGTTCCAGGTCCCACGGGAACAGCGTGCTCCCAAGGTCCCATCAGTAGCCATGCTGGGTGGCTGCTTGAGGGTTGCAGGAGCCATAGGGTTGCCTGGCATACCTGACTCAGTCCAGGCCCTCTGTAGGGATGTCACCACGTATGCACTGAAAAGCTAGAAAAGTGGGCTCACAGAATCAGATACTGTGCAAAATGGAGAAAAATAATCACATTTTATTTACATCTTTAATCAAGCTTATCACCAAAAGGGCTCAAAAGAAGGCCCATATGAAAAAATTTGATGCACTACAAGAATTTCTAAAAGTAACTAAAAGAAAGAAAACTATTAATAGTGGCTATAGTTTCTTAGTGATCCTATTCCTCATCCCTGAGCCGAAGTGGAAATCAGAGCTGTGAGCCACCCACAGGACAGTGAGCACTGAAGCTTCACGGGCAGCCCAGGTGTAGGCAGCCTGACACTCAGGAATCACTACAATCTCCATTTCCAGTGCTAATGCATTTGGCTGAATCAGGAAGCAACAAAACAGACCTGAGCACCTCAAGGAAAAAAATAGCAGTAAGAGGAAAAATGAATATAGTAGAAAAAGGGAAAAACAACAGCAAGTTGATGAGGCCTCCTCCAGCCCATTCAGTAAAGCAGTCCTGTGATGCCCAGCTCTTCCCTAATTCACCTTTCTGTCTCAAGAAAGTCCACAGACCTTTGCAGCCAAAGCTGTTTTCCCCAAGAAGCAATTCTGTAAGAATATCCTAAGAACAGCGTCCCTACAATTGAATGGTTTCTATAGATGGGTTAATTGGCAGCTGATTTCTACAAAAGGCCCAATATTTGGTATCGGATGCAAGATCTGAAATGAAGAGATCTTCAAGCTCTTGTTCAGGGCCTGTGTTTCTAAGCTGGTGTCTGTTCTGTTTTCAGAGGGATCAGCTGTCATCCAGCCTCACAGGAGTGCTTGCCCAGCCTGTTCGGGATTTCACAGAGAACAGGTTCATCAGGGGCTAAGTGGAGGCATGAGGGAGCCCAGAGAAAATGTGGAATAGCTTCCACATGGTCAGACCTCCTTCACCGTACTGATGAGATGAAAGAGTCAGAGGCAGCCACAGCCAGGAGAGTCACCCTATGACACCACCAAAAGGAGAATGAAATACCCTGGTGCTAAGGGGATCTGTGTCAGCATAGTCACAATACCCACTTAGCACTTGGCACCCTCTAGCCCAGCACATTTGCTCACTGATGCCTGGAGCCAAGTGCAAGACCCACAGGTCCAGCTTGGGAGGCTGCCATGCCTGTGTAGCAGGGGTCCAAGCCTCATGACCTTTGACCCTGGCCCCACATCTGCAAACAGGCTATGTGCAAGGGGAACCTGTTGCTAATGAGTGGAGAGTGTGAGTGAGTGGGCCTGCAGGAGCACCTCGGAGCATCCAGGGCCGGAGAGGAGCAGGGCAGGAACCAGAAGACAGGAGGGGCCTGCAGAGGGAGGATTTTCTGCAGAGCCTTCTTTGGACTACTCTAGGGAATGTAGCAAGGTAAAAGAAGTGCTACACGATAATAAGGATGCATCTTAAAACACTAACAACAGGCTTGGGACTGATCTTTCAACAGCAGAGTGCAAGACTGCTTTCCACAGAATAGCCCTGGCTCTGTCGCTGAGGTCAGGTTTTCTGCAGAGCAGCCACAGCCTTCACAGAGCATTACCTGTCACATGCTTCAGCCCATGACCCAATAAGAGCTGAGCCAGGCTCTTGGGTCCTGCACAGATCCCAGCCACTGCCAAGGCTGCCCATTCCCTAGATGGCAGAGGACACGGCTTTAGTGTGCAACGGGATAACCAAGCACAGTGTGTGTACCACACTGACCCAGCTGAAATTAGGGCACAATTACTGAGTTCATCTTCTCATGATCCTGCATTCTTAGGTACCACCAGAGTTAATGTGAGCTCTCTGTGCATAGCTGGAGGGGAATAAATATCTCACCTGGCCTGAGCCCCCTTACTCAGCTAAGGGCTTCTCAGCAGGCCCTTGGGAGTGGGTGGAGGCAAGCTGAGGAAGTGGGGTGGCCTGACTGCACCAAGTGCACCTCTGTTCCCAAATGCAGGGTGCTTGTGTGGGGCCGGGCCACGTGGCTGCTGTAGGTAGGGTTCAGCTGCAGTCAAGGCTCCAGGGTTTATCCTGCACACTATGCTCCTGACATCACACTCAAACTGCCCCAGCACCATCAGCAGCAGGACAATAGAGAAGACTCCAAGACCTGGTCCTATTGGAGCTCCTGCCACTTTAGGCTTCCCAGGAAATGGTCCCACAAGCAGCACAACCACATACACAGAAGCTGCGTCCCCTGTGACTTCTGTTCCTGAAGGACATGGACAGCTTGCTGGGGACACAGGGAGGACACAGACAGCGCTCAGTATTTATGAGACACCTATTGCTAGAATGGAGCCTACGGGCAATGGATTGAGTGGAATCTCATATTCTCACAGCTCATAGTAGTGCCAATTTCTCAAAGAAACTTATTTGCTTATATTTTGGAAATTAAATTTATCAATAATGTATGTTTAAACAAATACACATAGCTATGGTATTCTGTTTGTAAAGCTAGGCTCCTCCTTCCTACGTGACAAAACTGCTGTCTAGAAATGCATTCACACAGCGAGCTGCCTAGGCGACATCTGCGTACAGGCTGACATGCACACACACACACACACACACGGAAACAGGTATTCCTGCTACTGGAAAAAACTCCAATGATCAGAAGGACACTGATGTGCCAGACTGGCCTGGAAATCAGACACAGCACCTGAGGACTCTCTTCAATTTCCACATAAGAGACAAAGAGCCAAATGTCCAGTTGGTCATCTCTGGGAGACAGACTTGTAGGCTGATGGCCACAGGCTCTCCTGTTTTCAGTAAGCTTTGGTGGATGATAGCCAGCTCACAGCTAAATAGCTCTGTTCAAAGAGGAAGCACATGGAGGACAGGAAGCCTTTCTTACGTTTGGTGGTCTCCAAGCGGCCTCTGTACGATGGACTTCAGCAGGGGCTCCGGCCGGATGGCCATCTTCGGGGAGGTCTTGGGGCTAGAGTCAGACTCCCCACTCTCCTCATCTCCCATAGCTTTGATGTAGCTGCCGCTTCGCATCCTCCGGCAGGGAATCTCTTCCTCCTTGCCGCCAGGGGGATACCCACCCCATTCATCCTGTGGCACCTAGGAGAGAGCACACAGTGGCATCAGTCTTGTTACCGGCAGCACTGGGCAGCACATTTTCTGCTGCCCTGAGGAGACCTACTCTCTGTGGTTGTTTATCATCTATGCTAAGATGCAAAAAGGTAGATGGTCCTCGGCACTGTCTTTCAGATCCTAAAAGGCCATGAAGAAAAGCACTGGTCTTCTTTCCATTTTAAAAGTAACAGAGAAGCATTGTGGAAAAAGTGAGAAAATACTAGGAAAGTAGGAAGGGAAAAAATTCATTTTTTTCAGCAGTTGGGAAAACATGGGTAACATTTAGACCTTTTTTTGCATAAAAGGAAACTGCAACTTGAGAAAACTGGACACAGAGAAAAGAATGGAAGAACAGAAGGAGGAGAAAAGAGATGCCTGAGCCATTATAAAACTTCTCCTTAGTGCAGCCTAGTAAAGGAATGGCCTTAGTTTGAGAGGTCACTTTGTGTCTTCTATCTCAATGATACAGGCTTGCAGTAAAGGACTTGAGTGCCTGGTGCCAGGTGCTGCACACGGGTTGGACCAGGACAGGTGCCAATGCAGGCCCACGGGGCTCCCACTGTGAGCTTTCATGCTGCAGTCCTGGCTTGGAGCCAGGCTTGGCTGCCAGGGGCCAAGTAGGAAAGTACTTGGTGTTCACCTTTCATACCTGGAACTTGAGATCCTCTCTCTACCACACACAGAACTGGGGAGGCAAACAGGACGCTTCTGGAACTATGGCCCAGTCAGGGCAGCTCCAGGCCTGGTTTCCTCCCTGAAGGCTCAGTAGCTTTGACACAGTTGACCCTAAAGGCAAACCGAAGGAAGCAAGATCTGGCAGCCTGCTGTGGAGGGCAGGGACCTCTAAATGCTCTCTGATCCCTACCCTTCATGAGGCCTGTGGCCCCAGAAGTCTATGTGCATTTCCTGTTGAACATGTCCCAGCATGCTGTGGGGGGGACGGGATACTGATGACATTCCATGGGCACCTTGTCCTGCCTCCCCAGGACCTGGGTGGCTGTGGGAAAGTGGTCTTCTTGTGGTACTTCTGCTTTTTCACTAAGTGACACTGTCCATGTGACAGCCTGATCAGGGCCCAGGGCCAGGGAAGTATGCATCATCATACTTCACATCTGCAGCTGGCCAAGCAGGTGCTGCTTAGCTCACGCACCTGTAGGCAGGACCCCTTGCAGGGAGGATGGAGCATGTCATTTCCGTAGCATCCAGCTTCTGCCTTTGAACACTGCAGTCCCTTGGGTTGGCTCAGGTACCCTGAAGCACAGCACTGTGGTACTGGCAAATGCAAACACAGCCAGGAAGATCAGACTGAGTGGGACAGAAAACCACAGCTCCCGTTCTGCAGGCCCAGCACTGCACTTTCTGTGTAGCCTAAGGTGAGCTGGGGACTCCATGGTCCCCTGTGGCCTGTGTCTCTGACATCGTTAGGCCATATTCCATGCCAGTCTCTGGACAGGTGTGAAATGCAGAGCACATCCGAAGGCACCAGGAAGTACTAAAGTCCTGGACAAAGTGGAAGCTGGCAGAATATCTTGCAGAGACCTTGAACTTGTAGGCAGAGTAATACAAAGGCCCAGTGACACACAGAAGGCTCCATCAACAGGGAGTTAGCAATTGAGAAAATGGGCATCAATTTGCCATGGAGAATCTGAGTTTCAGGGGAGACATCAGTTCCTGCAATGAGTACAGCTGCATACTGCAAAAATGACTGATGACAAGTGAAGAGTAGATTTCTCCAGGCACCTGACAACTCCTATCTATGTGTCTTCTCACCAAAGTCAGTTTCCAACCAATCACACACACAAAACCAGATGGAGAGGGCCAGTGAGCCGTCATTTCCGGGCTGCCTCTGCCAGGCCATGGGTGGGGAGAAGGGTCAGATCTTCACAGCGCTTAGCAGCCTGCTCACCCTGGCTCCCCAGGATGTGTCCAGGGACAGGAGAGTCAGTGCCCAGCATCAGCGAATCACTTGTAAGGGTGAAGGAAAGAATGGTAATATCTTATCCTAGGGGTAGCCTCAAATATTATATTCTTACTAGTCAGACACCAAAAATAATATCAGGGAAGAATGTGTATTAGGCAGAGGACAGTTCACTGCTTTTGTTGCTCTCACTGAATACCAACGCCAGAAGAATGGGCCCAGCCTTTTAAGGAGAAAGGCCCAGCTCAAGCTTGGCATCTGGTGAGGGGCTCCACTGTGTAATCAGGAGAGACACAGCCAGTGGTCAGCTCTGGTCCCCTCCCTTCTTATAGAATCATGAATGCTACCAGGGTCCCAGTTCATGCCCTCATCTAATCCTAGTCTCTTCCCTAAACCCACCCTAAACCCTCCAGTGCACGAATTTAGGGTTAAACTTCCAATGCAGGAGCTTCTGGAGACATACTCAAGCCCTCACCATAACCCTTTAAAGCAAGGGCTGCCTATGCCAGCAACAGAGTGGAGCACAAGGGATGGCACCAGGAGGACAGGCTCAGCCTCTCCAGTTATTTTTCTTTCTATTTATGTTTTTAACATTTTCTAATGGGACAGAATGATAGCTTTCAATGCCACTACACTTCAGCAGAGAAGACCAGGTAAAATGAGGTGAATTTGAGTGTGGTCAGGGCAGGAGAACAGTGCAGGGGAACACAGGACAGTGATGCTGCTGCTGCAGAGCTGGCACCCATTGTGTCCAGCAGGAGAAACAGTACCTGGGCCAGGCTGGGAAAGCTGGGCCATTCCCTGAGAACGTACTGGGTGACAGTCACCAGAAAGGAGACAGATGCCATTGAGAGAAATATCCACTCTGGCATGTTTGGGGGAGTCTTTTGTGGCTCAACAACAACTTTGCAAAAAAACCAAGGTGAAGCCTTTTTTCAGCAGTCTGCAAATTAACAAGTGAGACAAGCTTGTATGTTTCTGTTTTCAACTTAAAGGAGCCAATTTCACAGCCTTTCACTGAAAAAAAAAAATACTCAACACAGAAAGAGTGTAAACTAGAGTCAGTTTCTTAGTAAGAATTCAAGCTCTAAATACTGATTCCAAAGTATATGTTCCAAGAATATCAAAAACACAGGAGAGCAGCACGAGCCAGCAGGCCCTGGTGTGTTAGCCTTAGAATGGTGGGCCAACATGGTGCAGGGCAGTGCTGCAGGTATCTCCCAGCCCCACAGATTGGGGGAGCTAGTCCCTGTGACCTTCCCACACACAGAGTTTCCAGAAGGAGCCTTTTCCTAAGGTGGATGCCAAAGCACTCTGCAACATGCACTGTAAGGCTGCTTTACACTGCATGTTCAAATATCTTTCAGTGTTGAAACTAGGAAAGAGAAAGATTCCCAAAGCTGTGCTTCTGCAGGAAATGTCTATCTGGCTCTTCCAATGAGGAGTTTGCATGTGCTTTAAATTCATATTGGTGCACTGGCTGCCAGGGGGCAGAGGCCAGCAGGGCAGAGAGCGGCCGCCAGAGAGCTTGGGATCCCCAGGCAGCATTGGGAAGCATTTCCAGCACCCAAGGGAGCCCTAGCTCACGTCTGCCTGACTCTGAAAATCAGTTTTCCCATCTGCAGTTTCCTGAGCCTTGGACCTAGTTAAGCTTTGCATAAAACAAAAGCTTCTGGTTATGCATTTTGCAGAGCAATGAAGTTTGTTCAGGAGCACAACTATCTTGTAAATGGAGAGGCGAAAACTTGCTGTTGCCGATTTTCCATCGAAAACCGTCATGTACTGCTTCCAAACTCCAAGGGCTGGAGGGCTCCATTCATGTCTGAGTCCTGCCCATCTAGTTCGCAGCTTCTGATTCCAGCACCCAGAACGGCGTCAGAATCTTCACTCTTGAGCTCACCTGTGGCTGAGCCTTGACATTTTCCATATCAAAATGTTTTAGTTAAGTTACTTTCCTTTCACTTCTGTTCTACTAGAGTTCTGGCTGTGCACGCATCTGAGAGAGACAGAGAGAGGGACAGAGAGAGACAGACAGACAGAGGGAGGGAGGGAGAGAGAGGGAGACAGAGAGATGGAGGGTGGGGGAGAGAGATAGAAAGGGGAAGAGAAAGAGAGAGAGAGACCGAGAGAGGGAGGGAGGGAGATAGAGACCGAGAGAGGGAGGAAGGGAGAGAGGAAGCGAGAGAGGGAAAGAGAGAGAGAGAAAGAGGCAGTCACTGTGAATGTCAGTAGGTTACATGGATATCTTTGTAGAACAGCCAGGGAGATGTGAAGCATTTGTTGTAAATGGGGCACCCAGCGCAGGGAGCATAACAGTCCCTGTGTGGGGAGGAAGTGGTGGAAACGACGCTCCACCACGTGCTCATGAGAGCCAGCCCCCAGCAGGGGTCCTGAGGGGTTTCCTCACTGCAAGGCAGTGGTGATGTGGGACCAGGAGGAGGGTGGGTGCTGTGAGCTTCCTGCCCCAGGCAGCTGAGGCAGCCCCGGGAGCCAAAGACAGAAAGGGGTCCTGCTCAGGGCCGGAGCAGCCTGTTCCTTCTAGCCCTGCTCTCTTGGCTGCAAGCAATTTCCCTCCCCTTCCCCGCCTGTCCTTCTGTTTCTCTCTCAGCCTTTTCCGTGAGAGCCATTCTTGGTGCCCTACACTGGCTACAAGGCCCATTAGAGAGACTGTAGGGCTGGAAAGGCTCTTCTGACCTGGAAGCAGGGTTTGCAGCTTGGCAGGGGTGGATGGCTGAGGCAGGAGGCGGCCTGCTTGATTCCACCCAACTCAGGTCCCCCACTGAGGCCACAGCTCAGCCCCTGTGGGTGGCAAGGTCCTGGGGAGACCTCATGCCTTTCCATGGAGTGGGGGCTGAGAGACCCTGGACAGCGCCTGGAATGCGCTACAAAGAGCAGGAGCTTAACACCTCGGTGTGAACAGTGACCTCGAGTGCCTCCTCATACTTAGTGTGAAGTGGGTGTGTTCATTTTGAGGCCCTGAGTGTCATGGGTTTGTGTCACCTTTGCGTGCAGCCTGCCCTCCTCCACGGGACACTCTGTGCCCCTTCTGTTTGGGCCGCACTAAAAC